GAACTTTCACAATGAAATTATACACTTTGTTTCTAAATTCAAAATAAATGTGTGAGTACAAACGACCGGGTAGTCTGTAACTTATCTAAATGGTTAGAAATAATTGGTTACTAAAATTAATGGTTCAAACCAAGGGGCTGGCCAGTTCCCACGGTTTCACCCGTTTGAGGCGTCTAAACTCATTTGAGTTGTCAAGTAATAGTAAAGCCTCGGTGTTAGGATGGTGATGGAGCCGTCTCTCATAGTTGGTTGCAACTTTAGTTATAAATTGCGAGACGGTCTCCATCCCCAGGTCTCTATGGATATCAGAGTTACGTTCATACCATCGTGCTCCGACTATCTGTCTCAGAGCACGATTTTGGACTCTTTGTAAAATTTCTATATTGGACCGTGCTGCACACCCCCAGATTTGAGCTCCATATGCCCATGTGGGTCGTACAATTTGATCTTTCTACACCTCCATTAAAAATAATGATAATGGTACACTATATATGATTTTTTGCATAAATAAGGCCGTACAAATGCAGCAGATAACAATGAAGAAGGAGGAAAAACAGGAGAACACACATTAAAATAAATGAACAACCATCAGCCATTATTGATATAATTTTTTACCAAATAGAGTATCGTTTGATCGAGAAATTTTTGAAGGCTTTATCAGAACATTTGTAGTTAAAAACGTTTTGTAGATTTTTCAGCAGTTGGTTGAGCGATTGAGCATTTTGAACAAATACATCATCGGGATTCATGTAGAAGGATCTCATTATTTTCTTGTATTGTTTTCATGGACAATATCTTATCTATCGGGAGAGTTAATATTTTTGGCACAACGTGTACACATATGCACTAGCATGTACACAATTTTGTATAAGTAGCGCAGGGGCAGTCAGTAAATGTTATTTACGAAAACTGTCGTCACATGATACTTTTGCTTTTAGTCTAAAAATAGCTCTTACTGCCCTCTACTGTGCTTTGAACATTTTCTCAACTTGACACTTATTCCAGTTTGACTAGATAGAAATGCAGCACTGAATGTAGGAGATCACTAGAGCATGATAAACTGTTAAAAGAAGATCTAATTTAAAATAATCTGCTAGGGTCTTTAAGATAGATACAGGCACACATATTTTTTTACAAGTTTCTATTTGATCTAGAAAATTTACATTTACATCTAGAATTAGTCCAATATGTTTGAAAGAGTCCACTCTAAGTAACCATTGACCCTCCAATAATATGTTCAAGTTTTGCATCAGACACTCATTGTTTGAATATGGCCTGAACTGTTGAATAGAACCTGAACTGTTGAATAGAACCATGAACTTGGTGTTTTTCTTTATTCATATTTACGCAATTTATGTAACACCATTCCACAATAAAATTTACGAGCAGACAAATATCTTTCTCTAAAATTAGACGGTCTTGGTCTTCGACTTTTAGAAAAACATCATGAGCAAACAAGACAGTATCGAAGTCAGATATCACCATTCCATTTTTTAGCTTAAGATCAATAAATTCTTTGAAGTATGCGGAGTAATGCAAAAGAAATTAAAGCGCAAAAAGCAGTAAAAATTTTATTTGCATTCCCTCACATTGGGAACACATGACTACTTAAGTCATGTAAATCTAAATTAAGAAATAAAATGAAGGTCAGTATAGGTCATCAAGAGAAAAAATAACTTGGTCAGAAAAACGGCTCCTGAATAATGCTCAAAAAGTAGAGGCTCTTGTTAACAAGGTCGAAAGGCACAAATCAATCAAACCAAAGAAGCTGTGTAAAGCAACAGATGATATTAGCCTTCATTTTCAAAAACTTTGAGTCAACTATACATATTGAATACAAAATCAGCTAAAATTACTACAGACACTCGTGACTAAGAGTGATAAATCCTAAAATAGCAAACTTTAAAATTAGTAAACTCATTGTTTCATTTCGGTGTGCGTCCTAATTGTCGAAGTTTTTTTTTTTTGCCATCAATTCATTGCAGGACATGATATTTTCAATTCGCTCTTTCTCAATGTCAAGACTCTTTCTTTCCTTCCTTGCAGAAAACATTTTCGCTTGTCCTATCAAATGTCGCATTTTAATTTTTTTCTCATGTATGTCTTACTTTGCATTTAGCTCTTGGATACAATCAAGATCTTCAAACTAGAGCTGCATTCATGGAAGTCCTGGCTCAAATTTTACAGCAAGGGACAGAATTTGATACCCTAGCAGAAACCGTGCTAGCAGACAGATTTGAACAATTAGTCCAGTTGGTGACCATGATCAGCGACAAAGGAGAATTACCAATTGCCATGGCTCTAGCGAATGTTGTCACTACTTCTCAAATGGTTGGAATTTTTTCATTTTATTCTACTTCTTCAAAGTAAATTGCTGAGTTAAAGGCAAGAAAGCCTTTAGGTACAAAAAAGCCTGTTGAAGAAAAAGACCTTCTTAATTTCTTGTATTCTCCAAGGTTTGTATGCACAATTTTACCACAGCAAGGTAAAAATTGAGCTAGATGTGAGAGTAACAATCTGCAGTTAGAATTTATTTGATAGTATCTATTTCACTTTTATCCTCTTTCTTACAGTTCAGAAGCTCATACTTGTATTAATTTCTATTCTGCCCACTTGTAACTAGCACCCTACAATTGGTTCTGTGAAGGATTCCTAGATAGCGCCTCTGCAGTATAGCAATGCGACAAAACTCATTGTTTAAAATGCCAGTCTCTAGTAATTGTTTTGGCCTGACGTGACCAAAAGGAGGATAAGTCTTGACTGGCCTGGTATTGGGGAAGTTCATTTATCTCTTACATGTCTAAGCTCGTTGAATTTGGCCTTTGTTAATCTGAAAAATTGGTTACAGGATGAACTTGCTCGGGTATTTGTCACTCTCTTTGATGCAAAACATCTTTTATCACCACTCCTGTGGAACATGTTCTACCGAGAAGTTGAAGTATCAGATTGTATGCAAACTCTCTTCAGAGGAAATTCGCTGGGCTCAAAAATCATGGCTTTTTGTTTTAAAATTTATGGAGCAACTTATCTGCAAAACCTTCTTGAGCCCCTGATCAGACCCTTGTTGGATACCTCGAATCCTCATTTAGAAGTTGATCCAGCAAGGTATGCACTTTTTTCAGTTGCAAATTAAGTGTAGCAAATTTTATAACTTAGCTTGCTGCAACAGAAACTGATTGATGAACTGATGAGCTTCCAGATGAATAAGATTCAACTAAAATGTAAATCCTATAATATATTTTGCCTTGTCCATTTCTCTATTGATAATGGAACAACAGTGAATGAAATGAATGAAGTAGAAAACTTCATTTTAGTGAACACCACAAGTAGGGTTGTGTAAGCCAATTTCTTACCCTGCACATTAGATTACAGAACGTAAGCAAATATCATCTCAAGGTTTGGAATTCCCTCAGAAGTTCTGTCTGGTTTTTTTAAATCATCACATTGCCTGTCCAGCCAGTCAATTCAACTGGTTTTGATGCGTTCTGCAGAGGCAAAGTGGTGGTTGAGAACGACTGATATTCATTTGGCGGATTTTTCAGCTGAACCACTCGGACAGCGCCATCTCTCGGCATTTAAATGGACTAGCAACACTACTAAATGCCCGCCCCTGTGTGCTACCAACTTTTTTCTTGCAGGAATTTTCAGCGCGCAGCGTTTGAGTTTCCAAGAGGCCTTTTTTGTTTGTGTCTATAGCCTGGCAAGTATTAAGAGCCAATAAAACTGTGGCAGGCACGGCGTCTATAATCAGCCTATATTTAACCATTAGATCAATGAAATTTCATGGTATCAACGGCATGGACTTTATTTTGAACCATTTTGTGAGGTAGTCTAAAATAATAATCAGGAACTCTGAACGTCCAACGGGAACTCAAAACATTCCAACAGGAACTCACCGAATTGGAGGTTTAGAACACAAGTAAAATTTGCAACCGTGAGGTTGTCGTGTAGAAGGTAGTTCTGAGCCTCAGAATAAAATTTGCTTTTTTGAACGCGGCAGTTGAAAGGCAGTTACAAAAGACTTCTCTAAGAGAGAATAAAAAGCAAGGAAGTTTCACGAAGTCTTATGAAGTTCTCATATTACGTTGACTGAAGCAAAAATAAAGTATGATAGGAAGTCTGCAATATTGCAAATGGTAATATGTTGTTTTTCATTTCGGTCATTGATATTACTTGCTCAGAATTTTAATAATCATATTGCCCCCTGCAATATCCAGTAATGGATTATTTTATCGAGGATTAATTTTTTGGCTTCTTTTTTTTTCTACTTCAATTTTAATTCATTTTTTAGGTTAGAAACTGGTGAAAATATAGAGGTCAATCGGGCAAATTTAATTGCTCTCACTCAGAAAACATTTGATGCTATTGTCCTGTCTGCTGACAAATTTCCTCCTCAATTACGCAGTATGTGCCATTGTTTGTATCAAGTCCTGAGCAAAAGATTCCCGCAGGCTCCCCAGAACAATATTGGAGCTGTGGGTACTGTATTATTCTTGCGGTTCATAAATCCTGCCATCGTATCTCCACAAGAAATGGGAATCATTAACAGGACTGTTCTGCAACCTGTCAAACGTGGATTGATGTTAATGTCCAAAATTCTTCAAAACATTGCAAATCATGTAGAGTTCAGCAAAGAGCAGCATATGATTCATTTCAATGATTTTCTAAGGCAGCATTTTGAAGTAGGTAGAAGGTAAGTTGAATTTAAATCGTAAATTACAAGTTTGGCCGAAGCCTTTTGCTGTTAAAGGACGAAAGCTGAAGAGAGGAAAGAACAAAGATCAGAGCCACCTTTAGAGTATTTTCATTTTTTATTTTTTATTATAAGCGGGGGTAAAACTTATCGTACAAAAGGAGTACAGACAATGGGCCTGTTGCAAACTTTTGCTAGAGTAAAAATAAGAGTTGTTTCTTATAGATAATGCCTCAAAAATCACGATGAGCGCATCGGCAAAGTCTGAAATGCACTCATAACTTCACAATCTGCGTAAGAAATTTGCGTTTTTTTAAGCTTCCCGCTTCAAAAACGATACTACAGCACAGGTGAACATTTTGTTAGAGGAGTCGCTCCATCGTCGGCGATATTCATCATGGCCGACACTTGCGCGCAGTTCCGCACGTAATTCGAGGAGAGTTCAAGGTCAATCAATTTGGGTGTGGAAAACATGAACGTTAAAACACGCCGATTGTTATCTGGTCTAATCCAGTTCAGGTATTATCTCGTCCCATCACACGTGTTTTGGCGGATTGGTGTCGGCCATGATGAGTATTGCCGACGATGGAACGACTCCTCTTACAAAATGTTCACCTGTGCCGTAGTATCGCTTTTGAAGCGGGAAGCTCAAAAAACCGCAAATTTCTTACGCAGACTGTGAAGTTGTGAGTGCATTTCAGACTTTGCCGTTGCGCTCATCGTGATTTTTGAGGCATTATCTATAAGAAACAACTCTTATTTTTGCTCTAGCAAAAGTTTGCAACAGGCCCATTAAGACTTAAGACATACCAATTTGGCAACAGAGACAGTTAAAAATGTAACAATAGTGCATCAGATTTTACCAATTACTTAATCTTAGAACCAGCATACAATTTAGGAGAGTCACAAAGAGGAAACTTGAACTTTGCGACCTCATTCTCAAGGTGAAGGTTTAAACGAAAATTCTTGCGTGAAAAGTATAACACTTGACATCAAGGCTGTTGGGAAGTCCCAATAATCTGTAGAGCACAGGCCTACTTTTCTGAGTATTTTGTAAATTTCATATTATGAAATCTAATCACTGAGCCCTGAAAGATCTGCTTGGGATCTTGACAGAAATTTCATTTAAAAAGGAAAGTATCCGCAAGGTTATCAAGCAGCTTATATGTGAGTATTGGATCCAGATATTCGAAGGAGGAAGCCAAAGACAAATACACAGAGCTTTTATAATTTTGAGTACCTCCCAGATTCAAAGAATTCACTTAAAAATTGTAGTCCAAGGTGTAGAAATAGAATACTTTACAGAAACTACAAAAATAGAGCTCACACCAGCAGGTCCAGGTGGATGATTATCTATAAGACGGGAAATAACTCTCAGAGGCTCATAAGTGAAGAGACAAACCCGCCTACCTGGGACCTCCCAGATGGTCAGTGCTTGGAATGAGCCAGTCCCGAAAAAAAAGGTGAAGAGAAGAAATAAGAAGAGAAAATAAGAAATGGGAAGAAAGAGAGAGCTTGAAAGTTACATTTAAAGGATCAGAGTAAAAGAACCTTTATTTTTATGTTGTTGTTTTTTTTCTTCCCCCAGATTTTTCATTCAAATAGCCTCTGACTGTGAAACAGAAGATCAGCAAAGCTCTCATTCCATGTCTTTTATCAGTGACTCTAACATCGTAGCGCTTCACAGACTGTTATGGAATCATCAAGAGAGAATAGGAGATTATCTCTCCAGTAGCAGGGACCACAAAGCTGTCGGTCGTCGACCGTTTGATAAGATGGCAACATTACTGGCTTACCTGGGGCCGCCTGAACATAAACCTATAGAGTCTCAGTTAGTATTTCAGAATGTATCTCTCAATTTATTTCTCATCTGCAATGATTTGTTTTAATTTACATTTTACTTCATAATTATGAAAGTCATTTCAATGAAGCATGTACGACATATTAGATCTTTTGCTCTATGTTTTTTTCCTCGTAAAAATTTGGCGCCATCATCTGAATGAGGAATAATTAAAATTAATTTAAAAAGAATAGAAAAAAATGTATAAATGAACATAATGAGTAAAGAATGAATGTATAAGTTATGAAAAATAATTACGTAGTAATTAAAATAAAAATGAAGGGAAAAATACGCTTTCCAGCCACAGTGGAAGCGAAAGGTAGATTTCGACTAATCGTTTCTATGAAAACAGTTGCGCTTAATGAGCCTGACAGGTCGGAAAATAGTCCCCCACGAACTCGAGTTTTTCAGGATAAAGGGCGGTTTTAGAGGGTGGGTGAATAAAGGTTGTTTTGAAGGCCACGACAAGATGAGTTTTTTGAGGTATCACCGACTAAGATCGGATGAGTTTGAAAAATCATACCACTTTGGACTTGAGATTTTCCGGATAAGGCGTGGTTTTAGAGGGCAGGTGAATATAGGTTGTTCTGAAGGCTACAATGAGACGAGTTTTTTGAGGTATCACTGATTAAGATTGGACGAGTTTGAAAAATCATCCCCCTTTGGACTTGAGATTTTCTGGATAAGGGGTGGTTATAGAGGGTAGGTGAATATAAGTTGTTTTGAAGGCCACGACAAGACGAGTTTTTTGGGGTATCACCGATTAAGATTAGACGAGTTTGAAAAATCTTCACCCAGTGACCTTGACGTTACTGAACTAAGGGATGGGCCGATTTTCACGAAAAAAGAAACTTGATGTAGACCTCATAGTAGTGATGAACCATGCTTCGTTTCGTTTTGATCGTATCGATACTTCCGAAAAAAACGGTCGCAAAGTTTCGTTAGATCCCAGTTATAAATATATGTACAGGGTGAACCAGACCACCCGTCCACTATCTTTTTCTCGAAAACGGCGGAGAATTAAGCTTCGGGACAAAAACATTCATGGGGTAAAACGACCCCAAAGAATCGAAGCCCCTCAAAATGGCCCCTTGGGGAGGTTTTGGGGGGCGCCCCCCCCCCGTTTCTCGCGATTTTCAACTAGGATGGGTATGTTTTGACTTTGGATTCGAAATCTACGGCAAGAAATAAGAACATTTTGTTCTTAGCACTTTTTCCCTAAACCCCCACTTTTTGGAGTTATGGGTCATTTTTGGGGCAATTTCCAAATCGATGCTGTAAGCGGCCAAATTATCCAAATTTCAAAATCTTAAAATCTCTTGAGAGGAGAAGTCCATACCTTTTTATTGATGTGCCATATGACCCCTGTTGCTCCAAAATTTTGGGGGCCCCGACGCCCCAAAAATTTTGGGGCTTTGGAGGGCCATAAGTTAAAAAATTTAAAACGGCAAGGGTATGTTTTGACTTCAGATTTGGATTTTGCGCGGAAAGTTACGTAGAATTGATATGGCGCATGGCCTGTTTGCTCAAATTTTTTTGCCCCTCATTTTCTCCAAAAATACTTGGCTTCTTATGGGGAAATGGGGTTCTTCAGTAATTTGGAGCAAACAGGCCATGCGCCTCATCAATTCTACGTAACTTTTCGCGTAGAATCCAGATCTGAAGTCCATACCCCAACATACCCTTGCCATTTGAAGTTTTCGACTTACAGCCCTACGAAGCCCCAAAATTTTTTTTTGGGGGGGGGGGGGTCGTGGCCCCCAAAATTTTGGAGCAACAGGGGTCATATGGCACATCAATAAAAAGGTATGGACTTTTCCTCTCAGGAGATTTTTAGATTTTGAAATTTGGATAATTTGGCCGCTTACAGCATCGATCTGGAAATTGCCCCAAAAATGACCCATAACTCCAAAAAATGGGGATTTAAGGAAAAAGTGCAAAGGAAAAATGTTCTTATTTTTTGCCGTTGATTCCGAATCCAAAGTCAAAACATACCCATCCTATTTGAAAATCGCGAGAAACGGGGGGGGCTCCCCCCCAAAATCCCCGCAAGGGGCCATTTTGAGGGGCTGAAAATATTTTCATTCGATTCTTTGGGGTCGTTTCACCCCATGAATGTTTTTGTACCGAAGCTTAATTCTCCGCCGTTTTCGAGAAAAAGATATTGGACGGGTGGTCTGGATCACCCTGTATATATAAATATACAGGGTTATCCAAAAGTCAGCTACCACCCCTGTAACTTTTTTCCTAATTGAGATAGAAGTTTGAAACTTTGGGAATGTTCCTCGGTTTAAGATAGCAACTTCTTGGTCCCCCCTAAATTTTGGGGGGTCGGCCCCCCACCCTAAGGGGGACTAGTGCTAACTTATTTTTTTCAGATGGCAACCCCCCTTTTGTGATAACTCATTCGAAAGATACCAAAAAAAGAAAAATTTGGCGCAAACCGCAGGTCGAAATGTTGATTTTTGACAAAATGGCGGCTGGTCAACATTAAAAATGGCGGAAATTTGGCATCTCCGTTTTTTATCGGTGGATTGGTCTGAAACTGAGAATCCTAGGGTTTTTCGGGACGAGGAAAACGATTCTGGCATTAGTTTTCCAGAAATGTCAGTCCTTTTCAAAATGGCGGCGGTTAAAATGGCGGCTTAGAGCGGGAAGTGGATATTTAGGCTGCTTGTCGTCGGATTTGTATGAGACTTGGTATCCGGGGGTATTTCGGCACGAGAAAAACGAATCTTCTATTGGATTTTTGAAAGTTCGAAAAACTTTAAAATGGCGGGAAAAATGCGAATGGCGATGGTGGATACGGATTTTCCGTTATTTTTCCGCCACCATTTTGATAATATTCAGTGTTTCAAAAATCTAATGGAAGATTAATTTTTTTCGAGCCAAAAACCACCAGAGTATTGACTTTTGTGCAAATCCATCGGTAAAATAAGGATTTTCCGTCATTTTTTCGCCGCCATTTTAAAGTTGTTAAAAATTTAAAAAATCCAATAGAAGATTCGTTTTTCTCGTGCCGAAATACCCCCGGATACCAAGTCTCATACAAATCCGACGACAAGCAGCCTAACTATCCACTTCCCGCTCTAATCCGCCATTTTAACCGCCGCCATTTTGAAAAGGACTGACATTTCTGGAAAACTAATGCCAGAATTGTTTTCCTCGTCCCGAAAAACCCTAGGATTCTCACTTTCAGACCAATCCACCGATAAAAAACGGAGATGTCAAATTTCCGCCATTTTTAATGTTGACCGGCCGCCATTTTGTCAAAAATCAACATTTCGACCTGCGGTTTGCGCCAAATTTTTCTTTTTTAGTATCTTTCGAATGAGTTATCACAAAAGGGGGGTTGCTATTTGAAAAAATAAGTTAGCATCAGTCTCCCTTAGGGGGGGGGCCGACCCCCCAAAATTTTGGGGGGACCAAAAAGTTGCTACCTTAAACCAAGGAACATTGCCAAAGTTTCAAACTTCCATCTCAATTAGGAAAAAAGTTACAGGGGTGGTAGGTGACTTTTGGATAACCCTGTACATCGTACTTTTTTTATGACCTTCATTTTTCAACTCAGGGCTTCAGGATCGATGCTCTTTGAGCAAAAATTCCCGAAAATTACGAGGTCGTACCGTCTGCAATAGGTAGATATTTCTTCAAAATCTACCTTAAAAGAAAAAGAAGAGGAAAAAATACTTGGCGCACGTCGTTTCCCAGCTCACTGTGAGATACAATCAAAATTTTTGTATGTTCGATTTTAAAAAGCAGACTTCACCTAACAAAAGGCCCAGCCTTAGTGGATGTCGTCTCTCGTCTCTTTTTTGTTTGTATTCTTTGAAATGATATTTATTTTTTAAAGGAGGGGGTACTGTTAAGGATCTTTTATGGGCCTACCCTAAAATTCCTCAACTTGACAATTTTTTGGTCATTGAAGGTCTATATTTTATGGAATGCATCATGGTTTGGTCATTTCCGGTCTCTTTCGGGGTCCTCCACTGGCCTAAAGTTGGGTCTGAAGGCCAATTTTGGCGAAAAATACGGGTTTTTCGGCATTCGACGCGCTGTTTCATAACGATCTCTTCAGAGGACCAAAAAGTCCTTCAAGTATGTTCATTAGGGATGTAAGAGAGTCACTTTTGTCAATTTCCGTTGATGTCAAACTTTCTGCTCATAGTTATGCGCTGGTTACATGCTCAAATTTCCATCAATTTCCGATCAAATGGTGACTGGTGCGCACCATCTACCATCAAATTTCTGCGGCCTGCAAAAACTTGATGGTAGATGATGAAGCTGTGGGGCTCATGCTTCATCTGATTTCCACACAACCAAGCTAATTTCATGCTTATTTCAATCAACACGCTGTTTTAATTAATTTAACTCATCAATCTAGATAACTATCGACCGCCATCTTGGTCGTCATTTTGATCGGAATTTGACGGGAATTTGATCGTGTAACCAGGCCACTAAAAAAACTTTTCAGAATTTTCTTGTCTTTCATCAATATTTCAAATGGCTTAAAAAGGCGACTCATCTTACACCAGAATTAAACTTTTTGGGCAGAACATGGACGTGGGTGGTCCAAACCTTCCTCTAAGAACTCATTTTGATTCAAAGCCCCCCCCTCCCCAAAAAAAAGCCGCTGTTGCCATATTTTATTGCCTGAATTCACAGAAAGCCTAGTATTTCAGAATTCGAATGCTGTTCCTCGTCGAGCTCATTCTGTAAATTTTAAAACCCTTATTTTTCATACGTAGTGGCTACATTACTAGGAATTTTATGTATGTTTCATCCACTTATGTATTTATCTCCCGCTGTGGCGCAGTGTTGCCACATATTATTCGTGAAAATCGAGAAAATTTTTTTTGGTTTCGCTGGTTTTGTGCTATTTTTACGAATAACGTGCATTGAATAAGTATGTACGAGACATACATGTGAATCATATGTGCCAGTATTAATTATTCTAAGATCATGCACTTACAGACGACCCATTCTCTTAT